TATTTGAGTTTTGTAGGCCTCAGTTTCTTCATTTCTGAAATCTCTTCTAGTGCTTTTATGATTCTTTTTCTTTTGTTTTTTTGAGATGGAGTCTCGCTCTGTCACCCAGGCTGGAGTGTGGTGGCATGATCTCAGCTCACTGCTCACTGCATGATCTCAGCTCCACCTCCCGGGTTCAAGCGCTTCTCCTGCCTCAGCCTCCCGAGTAGCTGGGATTACAGGCATGTGCCACCATGCCTGGATAATTTAATTTGTATTTTTAGTAGAGACGGGGTTTCTCCATGTTGGTCAGGCTGGTCTCGAACTCCTGACCTCAGGAGAGCCACCCGCCTCAGCCTCCCAAAGTGCTGGGATTACAGGTGTGAGCCACTGCACCCAGCCTGCTTCCATGATTCTTATTCAGTTTCTTCCTCAGGTATTCATAGGATGTTATTTGGTTTCCATCAAGAGTTTCGGTTTACCTAGGGGCATTTGTGCTAGTCAAATCTTGTGACACTAGGTCTCAAACTGTTACTTAACCTTTGTTTATACAAATGGTGGCTTCTGATGACACTTCGAAGATAGGACATGGTCAAATAAATACAATATCAATTTGTTAGGCCTGGAGTTCTCTCAAGAAATACATTCTCTCTTTCCAAGTTCTCTGGAAATTAAAGTTAGCTCCAAGATGAAGTAGATAAAACATCTCCTTTCATAGAGTAACTGCAACAACGTTTAGGTAGTTACAGCGCTGGCCCACTGAGACAAGTGAAAAGGGGAAATAAACTACAAGATATCATTAGGCTATGTTGCACAAACACAGGCCAATTCTACCCACTCTTCAAGGTACACAGTAAAATCGATGTGTTTCCATCACACTGCTCACTGTTTTTCCAATTCATTGCTGAAATTTTAGTGCTTCCTGATGTTTTTTTGCCTAAGAGTCATCTGTCCTATTAATCAATATATAACTTAAGATCATTTAATTAAAGCCATCACCTGACTTTTTTTAAAAGGTGATGCAGTTGTCCTGCGGAATCCTCAGGAGATTGGTTCCAGAACCTCCATGGATACCTAATCTGCAGATGCTCAAGTTCCTGATATAAAATGGCCTAGTATATTCATATCACCTATGCACATTTTCCCACATACTTTAAATCATCTCTAGATTACTTATAAACCTATTACAATGTAAATAATATACATATAGTTGTTATACTGTATTGTTTTTAAATTGTTTTTATTTTTATTCTTGTATTTTTTTTTTTTCAGATATTTTTTATCCGTGATTGGTTGACTCCACAAATATGGAACCCACAGATAGGGAGGGCTGACTGTATTTACAATATTGTCTGATTTATTAGAAAATAAACTAACATGTATACAAGTTAAGGAACTTACTAGATACTGAGCTAAACACAACCAGATCCAGAATCATGTGGTAATTGAAATGCTTCACCTGAGCAGCTGGGCTTCAGTGCCTCTCTAATTGCACCGGAACATAAAAGCTACTTCCAGAAACACCCAACTCTCTCTCTTTATGAGTTCCAACTTTCTGAGATGAGTGTCCCACTATCTAGACTATTATGAGTCCTGTTAAAAGTATTAAAGTATCTTTAGGGTATCTATGGAGTATTTTTCAGGGGAAAAGGCATATGAATCATGAAGGTACCAGCAGGAAAAACATTCCAGGCAGAGAGATGAGGAAATGCCAAGGCTCTGAGATAGAAGCATGTCTGAAATGTTGGTGAAATAGCAGGGAGACCAGTGATCAGGAGAGAGAATAGTAGAAGGTGATTTCAGAGAGTATCAGCGAGCCCCATTGTCTAGAGCCTTATAGCCCATGTAAAGACTTTGGCTTCTATTCTAGGTGAGATGGGAATTGGAAATAAGCACTTGGAAATTTTAGGCAGGAGAATTATGTGATTTGACTTGACATATTTTAGAACAGTTATGTTTCAAATAGACTGAAAGGGGAAGAACACAGAAGCATGAAGATTAATTAGAAAGCAATAACAATGATCTAGAAAGAAAATAATAATGGTTTGGGCCAGGTGGAAGACTGGAGGTAGGAGCTGGATTCTGAATATAATGACAGAACAAACAGGATATGCTGGCAAGTAAGACTGACATAAATCACTGCAGGGTGGGGAGAAAAGAGAGTTCACTAGACAGGAAGCCGGGATTTCTGAGTTGGAGTTTCAGCCAAAAACATATTTACAGTGCTACCAGAAGAAAGTCACTGAAAAGTATGAAGGCTCATTTTTCACACCTACAAAAATGGGGTTAATTACCTTCAGGACCTCACAAGACAAATGATTATGACGTCTGTGTGAATGTTGGCTTGCTTGGATTGAATCACTGCTCTATGTAAGTTTGTGCAAGTGAATCAGCCTGAGCAAATGCGGAGGGGAGGATGAAATCAAATCTGGAATATGTTGAGAACGAACAAAAATAAAAATATTACTGCTGCGAAGAAATAATTTAAGAAGTTTATTTTATTTTTATTTTATTTTTTTGAGACGGAGACTCACTCTGTCACCCAGGCTGGAGTGCAGTGGCAAGATCTCGGCTCATTGCAAGCTCCACCTCCCGGATTCACACCATTCTCCTGCCTCAACCTCCCGAGTAGCTGGGACTACAGGCATCTGCCACTGTGCCCGGCTAATTTTTTGCATTTTTAGTAGAGACGGGGTTTCCCCATGTCAGCCAGGATGGTCTCTATCTCCTGATCTCCTGATCCGCCCACCTTGGCCTCTCAAAGTGCTGGGATTACAGGTGTGAGCCACCACGCCCGGCCAAGAAGCTTTATTTTAAAACGCAAAGGCTGAGCAAAGTCACTCACCCCTTTAATCCCAGCTAAGACCAAGACAGGAGGATTGTTTGAGGCCAGGAGTTTGAGACCAGCCTGGACATCATAGTAAGACCTTATCTCAATAAAAAATTAAAAATTAGCTAGGCATGGTGGTGCGTGCCTGTAGTCCTAGCTACTCAGAAGGCTGAGGCAGTAGGATCACCTGAATCCAGGATTTCAAGGCTGCAGTGAGCTATGATGGCACCACTGCACTCCAGCCTGGGTGACACAGTGAGACCCTGTCTCTACAACAAAAATTAAATAAAATACTCTAAGCTCAGAATAGCCATAGAAGAAAGTTCAAAAAAAATTATTTAATTGAAGCCTTATGATTCCTAGTAGAAATATGGATTTTGTACTCTTTGAACCTAGATTTATGGATTGTTAACAAGTCATGGATAGAGGAATACAAACCACCAAAAAGAAAATATAAAACGACAAAAAAACCCTTCATTTGCAGTTTCAGTTTCAGTTAAGTGCAATAGACTTCTGTTTTCTCCTCTCTCTAAGCAGGTTTGCACTACCCTGGAATTTTTCTAAATTTCTACAGATAAGAGAAATACATGATTGAATTATTCTAAGGGACTCAAAAGTTTATAACTTTCCCAGACTGCTTAACTACGCAAAGCCCAGCTACCTCTTTCTAATTCACAAATACAAAAAAGCACCAGTAGTTGAAAGTTTAGGGTAAGTATGGGAGGGCTGGTGAGCAGTCCCCCACTGTGAGAGGGCAGGAGACATGGAGGAGAAAGCAAGGCTGTGGTGTTCTACATGGAGCCACCTTCTCAGCATGCTCTCAATTACCCTTTGCTTCTCCTCTTTATCTCTCTATAACCTCCCAAGTCTTCCCCATCAAACATACCTATCCTAAGTCCAAGTATCTCAACATCCTGAAAAGTAACTGAAAAGCCATTTAATAAGCCAATTTAAATTGAATTATTAACAATAGATAAAAATTAGTCTTTGAGCTGTCTCTGCATTTTGAGGAGGAACTCTCAGTAATGCAATGGCCTAAAGTCCTGGTTAAAAGGTGAAATGCTTAGGTACCATGAAGACAGATGTTTAGCAAGGAGTTCCTTTGAAAAAGACTCATGACATCTTGCCATAAGGTGTTTTTCTTCTTTGCCTATACTTTAAATCAGCAGTCTTTAGCATTGTCCCTGAGACCATCTCAGGGGGTCCACATAATCAAAAAATTATTGTCATGGTAACACCAATAAATTATTTGACTTTTTCGCTCTCATTCTCTAATAAATGTGCTCCCGAAGTCTTCCAGAAGCTGTATGATGTATGACGTTGGCATCACTCTGATAGCTAGTAGGATATATGGTTATATACTTTTGTATTTAAATTTTATCGGTTTTAATTTCAAATATGATAAATATCAACAGATACAATTCACATTACAGAAAAAGCTCTTTGGGATCCCCAATGATGTTTTTTTTTTTTTTTTGAGACGGAGTCTCACGCTGTTGCCCAGGCTGGAGTGCAGTGGCGCGATCTCGGCTCACTGCAAGCTCCGCCTCCCGGGTTCCCGCCATTCTCCTGCCTCAGCCTCCTGAGTAGCTGGGACTACAGGCGCCCGCCACCGCGCCCGGCTAATTTTTTGTATTTTTAGTAGAGACGGGGTTTCACTGTGGTCTCGATCTCCTGACCTTGCGATCCGCCCGCCTCGGCCTCCCAAAGTGCTGGGATTACAGGCTTGAGCCACCGCGCCCGGCCTCCAATGATGTTTTTGAATGTGTAAAGGGGTCCTAAGACCAAAATGTTTGAGAACTATTGCGTTAAGTCATTCTGCCTGATCTAGTGCCAATTTAGCCGAGATACTAGAAATACAGAAAAATACAAGGGGATGATTCCCACTAAATTCAAAACTATATGAGCTAATCAGTCTGCAAAGGTTGGTATTTAAAAGCAAAATCAAAAGAACATATATAAGGAAGTGCTGCAGAGCTGATAGGGTCATGTCAAAAGGACATAGGTACCAACTCAAAGGAGCTCACACTGGCCAGACATCTGATTTGTGTTTTTGTGATTAGTCAGAAGCATCAACTCATCTTTTAGGAGGCGGAAGATAGAGAGGAGGGGAGGGTTTTACATATCATGGGAAAAGACAAGGATTATCATTCATTTCCACATTTCCCAAGAGAATATCATAAGCCAAATATTTGGAGCCAACACTTTTAATTGTTCAATATTTTACTACAAATATAAGAAACAATACAGAATTAAATAACACATGAAAATCTTGCGCGCTCTCTCTATATATAAATATCCAATATAACAGTGAAAACAACTTACACTTTAATTCCTAGGCCACTGGATAGACACAGACAAAGCAAAAGATACTGAAAAAGCAACTAATTTGGTCTCACGGTTATTAAAGATTCAACATCATTCCACTAGCTGGAACAATATCTTTAGAACAAAGGGATTGTATGCTCATATTTGCCTCCTCTGCTATTGTGAAAAGTTAATGCATGGCAACAGAAGTCAGCAGAGACAAAGCATATGAATTGGCTGACTGCTATACAGGAAATCTCCTAAACATCTGTTTTCATAATGTATTTTCATTATATGAGGCTGAATTTAGAATGACTTAAAATAGGGCTGGGTCATGTTATAAGACAAATGGACAGGGAAAGCATGCTTCTCAAAAAATGTGAGCTATTCTAAGACTAACAATATTTATCCAGCTATAAAAATAGGTAAGCTAAATGAATAAGTTAAGATTGCCAATGTTACTTCACAATAAATTCAGTCCTATTTTTGTTGGAGTAAATCTCACAGAAGCACATGAAGAACAGCAGTGAAACCAATGATTCTAGCAAGGCCAGCTATTAGCAAAGCAGTAAGCAGGAAGTGGACTAGATACCCAATGATGGGGAAACAGACTCATAGACCTAAGAATATAGGAAGAAGGGATATAACATCAACAGAAAGGCAAAAGGTCATCTCTCTGTATTCTTTCTTCTCTCTCTCTTTCACTTCTTTCCTCTTTGCTTATTCCCCCTTTTTTTTTTCCTAGAATTACATTTTAAATTAAGTTTTAGAGCTATGTGGTAAATTATTTGGTCCAATTCCTTTATACTTTGGATGAGGTAAAGTGACTAACAGAGGTCCCCACCAGTAGGAGTCCAAGTCAGTCTGTGAGCTTAGTGCTCCTGATACTAAGTCCAGTGCTCTTTCAACCACATAACATGGCATTGCTTTACAAAATCAAGTCCTACAACAGACCTGAGAGGTAAAATGACTTCCTCTTGGGATTCAAACACTGAGTAGCTCAGATGGCAGTAAAAAGTCGTGGGATCCTTAAGGCTTTCGCTCCCACCTCTTTTGCTCTTTCAGGTCCTTTGGAGAATGGCCCCTTTTCCTCCTGCTTTTCTCTCGTGTCAAATTCAAGTAGACCAGGGAATCACTTTCAGGGTGCTATGTGACTCATTTAGGGCTCTGTATAAAAGAGAAACAAGGTATTAACTTGGGACACTTATAAATTCTATCATAATATATTTTAAGAAGATAAATAATAGAAAGATTAAGAAACACAGAATTATTCTAGTGTATATTCATTGGCAAAGATAAAGAAGTAGACATTTCTGACCCAGTATGAGGTGAGGGGACTACGACTATTTACAAGAACAAAAGTAGACTGGATGCGGTGGCTCATGGCTGTAAGTCCAGTGTTTTGGGAGGCCGACGTGGGAGGATCATTTTAGCCCAGGTCAAGACCAGTCTGGGCAACATAGTAAGACCTTGTATCTACAAAAAATAAAAATAAATAGCTGGACATGGTGGTATGCACCTGTAGTCCTAGCTACTCAGCAGGCTGAGGCATGAGGATAACTTGAGCCCAGGAGATTGGGGCTGTGGTGAGTTATGATCTCACCACTGCACTCCAGCCCCAGGCAATATAGCAAGATGCTATCTCTAAAAAACAAAGACTAAAACAGAACCAAAACAAAAATAAAAGGACATATGTAATCCTAGGAAATAATGATTTAGCCAATCACCAAAGATTACAAGTAAAGGAACATGTTCAAAAATTCCAAATGATCAAAATGTATTCCATTTGTAAGCTTTGTTTCTGATGGATAATAACTCACTGGATGTCAGGGTAGAAATGGTCATGAAGTAGAGGCCTTTCTGAGGGCTAATGGCTTTCTGGCACATACTGGGAGCCTGGGAGCCTCTCAAGGCACGTAGATGATGACGTGAAAGACTTGGAATTTTATCTTGGCACCACCTCTCACTTTCTGTGTCATCTTAGGTAATTATTTACCAGCACCTGCAAAGTTCTGCACATTTTAGATCCTGCCAATATTTCTAACATCAGATATCAATGGACCATGGAAAGACCATCTTTCCCCAACATGGCTCAATACTTTTCAATTTAAATAGTAAAAATGAAGTACTAGAAAAATGACATAAAATAATAGACATAATATAATTCATTTTTAAATTATTAGATTTAACAGATGTAAAATTACTGTCAAATTCTTATCATAAAGTATAAGCATTTATTTTCAATTACGTACTTATTTTGCTTCAGACTAGTAAAGAACACTTCTTGGATGGGCAACCATCCTCAGACCATATTTGGAGTAACACTGCTCTAAAATATATCTATAGATAGATATAGATATAGATAAAAGCTATATATATTTTTTGAGATGAAGTCTCGCTGTGTCAACCAAGCTAGAGTGCAGTGGCGTAATCTCTCCTCACTGCAAACTCCACCTCCTGGATTCAAGTGATTCTCCTGCCTCAGCCTCCTGAGTAGCTGGGAGTACAGGTACATGCCACTATGCCTGGCTAATTTTCATACTTTCAGTAGAGATGGGGTTTCACTATGTTGGCCAGGCTGGTACCAAACTCCTGACCTCAGGTGATCTGCCCACCTCGGCCTCCCAAAGTGCTGGGATTACAGATGTGCGCCACCGCGTCCTGTAAAATATTAACGACTTGTCTGCCTTAGGGCTTTCACATTTGCAATTAATTTGCTAAAAGCCACTCTCCGCTTGTCTCCTCCATGGCTGGCTTATTCTCTCCTTGCAGGTCTCTGATTAAAAGTCACTACCTCAGCGAAGCCTTCCCTAACAAATTCAAAGTAACTGTTATCCTTTTCAAGTTATCCTCTTTCATTGCATGCTATATTTTATATTATTCTATATTATTTCCTTGTGCAAAATCTCATGTTTGAATAGTATCCTTATTTGTTGATTCACTTGTCATTTCTCTGCCTGTCCCCCTAACCAGTCATCTCCATTAAAATGGCAAGGTCCTGTTTTGTTCATTATAGTATAATAACCAGTGCTAATTACAATGCCAAGCATGTTAGAAATTATTAATAAATACTTATAAAATGAATGAATTGAACTTCTGTGAATTTGGTTTTGTCATCTATCAGATGGAAATACTTTCCTTATCAATGTGCTGTGAGAATTAAATGTAATAACTTCTAGGTCTAGTCCTTTTGTCTCATGAACATCCATTTAAATATTTAAGAACACCCTCCATACCCTCCTTTCATCCCAATTACAAAGTTTTATCTTCTGAAATCTAAGTACTGTTTTCCTTAAGTGGTAAGACTATGCATTTTGAGCTAACCATTACCAATAACAGAATTTATAATTCTTATATGACCTAACCACTGACTGGAATCTAGAATAATAATCCAAATGATAGCATGGTTTCCTTTAAAGATCACTAGTATATATTTTTGTTGTTGTTGTTTGTTTGTTTTAAAAAAGCTCTTAAATTAAGCCTGACTTTGAATGGTTGATTACTTGATTTTGTATCTGGTCTGAAGAAGTTTTTCCTTTCTCTAAAATAAAGTTTCTACATATCTACCTCTATCTCCCTCCATCGCCTCAAAGGCCATGCTTTACTCACAGCCCTTGCCAGAGCAAAACCTTTTAGGATTCTTCTAAACTCTAGAATACCTAAGGACTACCTGAAGTACTGGTTAATTTGCAAATACACAGGACACTCGTAGAGAATGTGATTCTTTGTGTTTTCATGTGGTTCAGGAATATACTTTCGTTTTCTTTCTTTCTCTCTTTCTCTTTCTTTTTCTTTCTTTCTTTCTTTCTTTCTTTCTTTCTTTCTTTCTCTCTCTCTCTTTCCTCTCTCTTTCTTTCTTTCCTCTATCTCTCTCGCTTTTCTTTCTTTCTCTGTTTTCTTTCTTTTTGGATTGGGTAATCTATGAAGCAATGTATGAGGGAACAAAAATAATAAGATAAGTTTAAAACATATGGAATAGAGAGTGAAGAAATTGTTTATTGCAGAGAAGACAGAGCAGCCAAGTTGTGGTAAGAATAGGAGAAACTAGATGCAAAACTCATGAATCAGTGCTGATAGGGAACCTAGGGCAGCTTTCAATCTACAAGTACCTTCAGAGCTGCCCTTCTTGACATGTGGCAGTTGAGTTTTCTGGAAATCCATTTATACACATCCTTACAGGAACTGTCCTCCCTCTACCCCTGACTTGCACTAGCTTCACTGAGTACTTTCTTCTCACACTCCTACAAAAAAAATTTCTAACCAAAACAGTTTCTCTTCTTCAAAAAGAGATACGATTGCACTAGCAGGAAATCAGTTTTTGGCATCACAAGCTCATCTAGGCATCACAAGCTCATTTAGGCATCACAAGTTCATTTCAGTATCTGCATGTTTTTAGTACACACATTTTCTGATTCTGTCTCCCCACTGGGTCCCCACAAATTTCTCCCAAGACTACTACTGAAATGACTTATATAGCGGGTCCTCCAACAACATCCTTTCATTCCACAACATCTTGTTATAATGTTGATGAGAAAAACAATAGATTCCCGTCCAGGGCCACTGTGTGGAGTTAGCACATTCTCCCTAAGTCTGCAAGGGTTTTCTCTGGATACTCCGGTTCCCCCCACATCCCAAACATGTACTGCATGTTATGTAAACTGGCATGTCCAAATGGTCCCAGTCTGAGTAACTCTGTGTGTGTGTGTGTGTGTGTGTGTGTGTGTGTGTGTGTGTGTGTCTGAATGCCCCCTGCTATGGGATGACATCCTGTCTGGTGGCAGTTTCTGCCTTGCATCCTGAGCTGCCAGGATAGGCTCTGGCCACCCACGCCCTTGAACTGAAATCACTGAGTAAATAATTATCTCACTTGTTTTTGTTACTCTTTCTTAAATGTATGCATAGCTCACATTTATTTCAATGTTTAATATTAGAAACGTTTTGGTCTTTATTAAAAGTTTGGTGATGTTTTTGAGACCAGAAGTATACCATAGGAACTTAAGTCTTGTTTCTATCATGTAGCCTGTGGTAAAATTGGTTTTGTTACATGCCATTTTGCTTCAACCTGCAGTTTCTAAGAACCTATTGATGACATTAAGACTTACTGTATGTGTTCTTCTCCCTTCCAAATACTCATGCCCATGTGTCCAAACAGGTTCAGATAACTTCTGAAATCTTCCTCAAAGCTTTGCTAACTGCTACAATTCCTAAGTTTTTCCCTCCATTTATCTCTTTAAACTCGTCCCTCCTTGAACATTTGTACAATTCATGAAAATATACATCGATAAAACGAAAAAGGACCTTAGATTTAGTAATGATAAAAATGAACATTTGCTAGAAACTTACACTGCCACATTGGTGTGCCAGAGCTTTACTGGCTCATGCTGATGGTTAAATTGTTAGTAGCTTGAAATTTGCTGCAGTGGCAACATTTACTTCACAGAAGTTGGCGAAAGCTACAAATAAGCACTCCACCCCTCTCCTCCCAAGCCAGCGTTCTAGCCTATCATTCGTTTTAGGCACTTTTCTAAGCACTTGTATGTATTCCCCTTTAAATCTTCACAACATTCTTATGAGCTACAGTTACAATTATTATCCCCATCTTACTCAATGAGGAAAGGGAGGCACAGGGAAGTTAAATGGCTTGTCCAAAGGTACTCAGCTAATTTGTAAGGAACTGGATTTGATCAAAATCACTAAGTAATTGTTCATTATTGCAAATACAAATGACTAACTAGAAAAGAACCAATTTTATATGTCACTGGCTATCATTCTTGCCAGAATTAACAGTTGAAAACTTTAAACTCTTGAAGGAGAAATATTGTAGAAATAAATATCACATTCAGTTTCTCAATTATTTCATGTGGCCTTGGTTAAGATGAAAAGAATTCCAGTTAGATAGGAGTAATAACTTCAAGAGATCTATTGTACAACATGGTGACTATGGTTAATAACAATGTATTGTAGACTTGAATATTACTGACAGAGTAGATTTTATGTGTTCATACCACAAAAAAATAAGTATGTGAGGCAATACACATGTTAAGTAGCTTGATTTAGCCATTCTACAATGTATACGTATATACAAATATCATGTTGTACACCATAAATACATACAATTTCTATTTTCAATTAAAAAATAAAAACAAAAATTCATAACAATAGTTTAA